CAAGTAGATAAAAAAAAATTCTAATTAAAATATCTTAGGCTATTTTAGATGTTTATTTGATATTAGAAAGGTGGTCAGCTATCATAAAGTATTTCTCTTCATCACAAAAACTCCATATATTAAGGATTTACACAATCCAGGGGAAAAAAATCTAGCAACTTTTTTTTTTTGCCTGACCAATATTCTAAAAAGGATCTCCAAAATCTTGACTAGAGGTGTCATACTCTGCAATGAAATGCTTGAGTTCTTCAACACATCGCTCACCTATTTCATGTAAATTCTGTCTCAATGCAAACTGTATGGACTTTTCTAATGAAGGATCTTTTTCAATCAGCATCTTCACAACCATCCCGAAAGTTTCACAGTCTTGTCGGTAAACCTAGAACGGTGAAATATACTGTGGTTAGCTCAAAGTTAAAATAATTAGCCAAAGACTGAGCTAATTCTGTTGCAGAATTATGATGCTAAAGTCCAAAAGTTAAACATAATAATATAGCTGAACTTGTGTCGGCCCTGAGAAGTCACTACTGCCAAAGGCTATTTAAACCTCTATCTTTGAGATTTACTGGCAACTTAAATGAAGAGAAAAACACTGACATACCACATCACTGAGTGTAGAAGTTAGGCATGGCATCTGTCAGCATAAGGCGGTCAACAGAAAAGACATCAGACTAGAGATGAGAAGAACTAGGAACAAAGACTGGCTAGGTAAGGCACATTAATGGCTTGATTCATTTACTTGGTTAGAAGAAAAAAGTTTCTAAGCCCCTGACTTCAGATTATTTGTTTGAATCATGACCAGATGACGAATTCAAAATTCTGTTTAGTATACTACAAACAACTTTAAGAATGCCAAAAGTATCTATTTGAAAAAACTTTTCGAGTTATAAATATTTAACCATAATTAAAGTCACCAAGGCAGAGTTAAGATCAAAACAGTATGTTTTACACACATGGTTGTGCAAGTATGTGTATACACACATGTGTATAGATAAATACACACATATATACATATACACATGGCATGGCATATATTTTCTACCTACCTCAATGTTTATATTTTGCTATATTACTTTAATATGTATATATAATTTTTATCAGTGGCAATAATTGGATGCTATTTCCTGTCCAAAAACTGCTAAGCTTTCTCCACACTATTAAGGAAATGTCATTCCCTTAATTTGTAGTCACAAAATACATTTTAAATATCTATGCTATTTTTCATACTTTATAACATGTATTTAAAGAAAAATTACAGTTAAGTCTCCATGAAAACTGAATGAAATACAAATTATCTGGTTTAAAAAAAACTGTTAAATTAATTTTAACTATTGTAAATTTAACAAAAACAACATTTATTCTCTGAAAAAAGATTTTGTTCATTTTGAAAACTTTAGAAAGGAGTGATCTGAGACATTGCTTGGCTTATGATAGTGTTTATTCCTCAAATGGTCACTGTGTTGTGGTGGTTGCTGTTGTACTTTTTTAAATGTCTGCAATATTTTATTGACTCCATAAAAATAGCTATTTAAAGAATATTTAATTTTGACTCTCAGTACTAGGTTGCTAAATTATACTAAATCTAATGTACTTGCTCTTGAAAACCATTCACAAGCCTAGAAAAAATTAAAAGGTTAAGTTCTTCATATTAAAAAACATAAAAATTAAAATAAAGCCTTTAGCTGCCTTTTCCAACTCAGTGCGCGTGCACACACACACAAACACACACACACACGTGAGTTTTTCTAAATAGTGATGAAATTTATAAGTCGTTAAGTTTAATTCAGCTATTTAAACCGAACATTTATTCCAGTTTATACTAAGGTTTGCATATCCCAGAACTGATAATACTACCCTAATAAACCAACACAGAAAACAGTATACCATTCACATGATACTATATATGATGTCAAAGCAACAGAGCACATTAATTGGCCTAACAACACATAGTACCTGAGTCAAGCCAATGTAGACCCCATGGGGGAAAGTCAGAACCATGATGTTTCACAGTCTTAGTGGAGGTAAATTCCTTACCAAACCAGTCAGCCCACATAATAACAGCATTCTAACACCAACCACAGGCCTCAGCACACCACTTTGTGGGTGGCCTAAATTTTATAGGCTTCTTTATAACAGATGTACTAGATGTGGATAATGTTACACTGTGAATTAACCTGCAAATTCTTTAATGCATATTTGCTGTTTTGCCTAAACTGTAACTCTTCATTTAGCATATTTACAGAACATAAATGTACTATAGGTTTGCATATCAAAAGTAAAACCGTATTAAAATATGTTCATATATTTATTTAAATTGTAAACTACTACCACTCTGGAGACAAGATAATACAAGCATTTAAAGACTGTGTTTTATTTTTTAATTGTAAGTCCTTTTTGAATTATTCATTGAAATAGACAAATTTTGTATTAGTTGACAAGAACAACCAGAACTGCCCAAAGCAATATAATTCTCTACTACAGGGTAAATTTTCTAAAAAGACTGCTTAAAATGCAGTCTGGTTGGGCATTAGACAGGAAATAATTAGTTTTTTGTTAAAGGAAGAACCACACCCTCCAACATTTTATAAATAAAATTCACAACTGTCAGAAACCTATTTCCGAAATCTGTTCCACAGTAAATTCAATCCCAAACAGGAAGGGTGTAGTTATCTGTAGGAGTTTGTTTGCTTATGGCCTCTAGCTGGAAATGCATTAATAATTTTCAGATTTGATATCTACAGGCCACACAGGAAGATTTTTTTGCTGTTGCTTTTTCCCCTGATTGGACCTCATCAAAATGGGAAACAGGTTAAAGTTTGGGTGGGGTTCACATAACCTGCATAGAAACATAGTTAAATTTGCCAGTGTAATAAAAACATTATACAAATGTGGTTTCACACAGTCCTTAATTATACTAGCCTGTGTTAATAGTTAAATTCTCATAAAATACTTCTAGGAATAAAGGAACATGATAAACTACCAAGGCTTTTTACTATAAATTATGTTGTCCGGTGACTGGAAGAAGAGTATCTGGCAAAACAAACTCCTCAATGCAAGTTTGTTCTATCTAGAAATGTTTGTTATGACATAAAACGCCTCTAAAATGTATATTATTTTAGTCCTTACACCTCTGATCCCATGAAGAAAACAAAAATTAAGGAGACACGAGTTGTTAGAATTTCATTTCAGACTAACCATCTTTAGCATAAGCATTACAGTTCTGTAAGGGCAAGCAGTTTGGTACAGTGGTAGAGATTACCACTGTACAAATTTTGTATTAGTTGACAAGAACAACCAGAACTGCCCAAAGCAATATAATTCTCTACTACAGGGTAAATTTTCTAAAAAGACTGCTTAAAATGCACTGGTTTCTTAAAAAGATTGCTTAAAATGCACTGCTTAAAATGCAGAGCTGTGCTGTCTAATATAGTAGCCACTAGCCACAGGAGGCTACTTAAATTTAAGTATATATGTATATCTTAATATTAAATTTATATTAATATTAGGAGGTAATTGGTTAACTACTAAAGTCAGACACGCACACAGCCTTAAAAGGCTGGGGAATCAAATAACGATTATTTTCTCTACTGTTGATGCCTCGTCATTCCATATAATTTCCTTGGCCTAAACTCATTTGGTTCAAATGCTACATGTCCTGTTTCAGTAGGGTCACACCCTCGCAGGAATAGGTAAGCACAGACTTAAATTAACAAAGCATAAATGAGATGTTTAGATGTAGGAGGTAGCAGGAAAGCTAGAAAGAGCAGAGCAGTGGTTCACGAGCAGGCTTATTGAGACTGAGTTCAAATCCTGACCCTACTACTGTGGTAGGCCAAATAATGCCCTGTACCCCACACCCAGATGTCTATATCCTAACCTCCTGGAACCTCTGAATATGTTACATGATGTGGAATAAGTGACTACAAATACGACTATGTAAAGGCTTTTGAGATGAGGAGCTTATCCTGGATTATCCAGGTAGGGAAAATGTAATCAAGAGAGTCCTTTAAAAAGGAATGTAGGAAGATCAGAAAAAAAGAGGAAATGTGACCACAGAAACAGAGGTCAAATGATGAGCTTTAAAGATGGAGGAAGGAACTACCAGCCAAGGAATGCAGCTGCCTGTAGAAAATGGAAAGGGCAAAGAAACGATTCTCCCTCAGCACTTACGGAGGAAGTGCAGCCCGACAAACACCATGGCTTGGGCCTGGTGAAACCAATTCAAATTTGACACATTCTTCTCAAGCTCACATGGAACAATCATCAGGACCAACGACATTCTGGGCCACAGAACACACTTTAACAAATTTAAAAAACAGAAATCATACAAAATATGCTCTCAGACTACAGCGGAATTAAATTAGAAATCAACAGAAAGATAGGTAGACAATCTCCAAATATTTGGAGATTAAACAACACACTTTTAAATAACACATAGATCAAAGAAAGAGTCTCAAGGGAAATTTAAAACTATTTTGAACTAAATGAAAGTATAATTTATCAAAATTTGTGAGATGCATCAAAAGCAGTGCTTAGACAGAAATATATAGCATTAAGTGCACATAGAAAAAATAAAGATAAAGTTATAATCTAAGCTAGAAAACTAGAAAAAGCAAAATAGATGCTAAGTATGCAGATGAAGAAAATAAAAATTAGAGCAGAAAGCAATGAAATTGAAAACAGGAAATTAGAAAAATCACTAAGCCAAAAGCTGGTTCTTTGAAAAGATAAAAAAAAAAAAACATTGATAAACTTCTTGTAACGTTAACCAAGAGAAAAAGAGAGTAGACACAAATTATTAATATCAAATTTAAACAAGGGTCATCACTACTGACTTCATTGACATTAAAAAGATAATAAAGGAATGTTATGAATAACTCTATGCCTGCTAATTTGATAACTTAGATGAAATGTACCAATTCTTTGAAAGGCAGTCTACCAAAACCGAAGCAAAGAGAAACAGATAATCTGATTAGGCCTGTATCTATGAAAGAAATTGAATCAATAATTAATAACCTTCCAAAACAGAAAGCTGTAGGCCCAAATGATTTCACTGATGAATTCTACCAAACATTTAAGGAAGAAATTATACGAATTCTCAAAAATCACTTCTAGTAAACAGAAGCAGAGGGAACATTTCCTAATGTTCTATGAGGCCAGCATTAGCCTATTATCAAAAACAGACAAAGACTTACAAGGAAGGAAAATTGCAAACCAATCTCTCTCATAAACATAGATGCCAAAAAATCTTCAAAAAAATATTAGTGAATCCAACAATGTATTATTAATAAAAAGAATTATGTACTACAACCAAATGGGATTTATTCCAGGTATGCAAGGCTGGTTCAACATTTGAAAATCAATTAATGTAATCCATCA